AGCACTGAGATCTCACAAATACAGTTGGATCACCATGGGGTTAAACAATAGCAAGGGCTGATGAGAGATTGAGGAGGGACAAAGTAGCCAGTTTCAACTGGTCTGGCAGTGTCCCTGGGACAATAACCTGCTGGAGAACAATATGACAGGAAAAAGGGGAGTCTCCTTCTTTAATGTGTTGATTCCCTTTATGTATTTAAATGTTTATATCATATCCCCCCTGCCTGGTCTTTCCTCCAAGCTATACATGTTAAGTTCCTTTAACCTTTCCTTGTAAGTTTTATCCTGCAATCCATCAACCAGTTTAGTAGCCCTTCTCTGAACTCTCTCTAAAGTATCAATATCCTTATGGAGATACGATCTCCAGTACTGCGTACAATACTCCAAGTGAGGTCTCATCAGTGTTCTGTACAATGGCATGATCACTTCCCTCTTTCTACTGCTAATACCGCTCCCTATACAACCAAGCATTCTGCTAGCTCTATTACATTGTCTGCCTACCTTTAAGTCATCAGAAATAATCACCCCTAAATCCCTTTCCTCAGATGTTGAGGTTAGGACTCTATCAAATATTCTGTACTCTGCCCTTGGGTTTTTACATCCAAGATGCATTATCTTGCATTTATCCACATTAAATGTCAGTTGCCACAACTCTGACCCTTTTTCTAGTTTACCTAAATCATTTGCCATTCGTCTTATCCCTCCTGGAACATCAACCCTGTTACATATCTTAGTATCATCAGCAAAAAGACATACCTTACCATCAAGACCTTCTGCAATATCACTAATAAAAATATTAAAGAGAATGGGTCCAAGTACAGATCCCTGAGGTACCCCACTGGTGACGAGCCCATGCTTCGAATATACACCATTGACTACAACCCTCTGTTGCCTGTCACTCAGCCACTGCCTTACCCATTCAACAATATTGGAATCCGAACTTAAATATTGCAATGTATTGATAAGCCTTCTATGTGCAACAGTGTCAAAAGCCTTACTGAAAGCTAGGTAAGCAATGTCTACTGCACCACCCTAATCTATTATTTTAGTTACCCAATCAAAAAAATCAATAAGATTAGTTTGGCATGATTTCCCTGAAGTAAATCCATGTTGTCTCTGATCTTGAAAATCATGTGTTTTTCGATGTTCAACAATTCAATCCTTTAACATAGTTTCCATTACTTTTCCCACTACTGAAGTAAGGTTTACTGGCCTATATTTGCCCGACTTCTGGGACAAGTCCTGTTAGCAATGATTGGTTAAATAAATCTGTTAATGGTTTTGCTAGTACACCACTAAGTTCTTTTAATAACGTTGGGTTTATTTCATCAGGTCTCATTGATGTATTTGTCTTTACTTTTGACAGTTGAAATAGAACCTCTTCCTCTGTAAATTCACATGCAATAAATGACTAATTTGTCCTTTTTCCTAACTGATGCCCCTTTCCTTCATTTTCATCTGTAAATACTGAACAAAAATATTCATTTTAGCTAAATAAAGCAGTTTTAGTATCTAGATCATTCCCCTGCAATTTCACTGCTCAATTCACTGCCATTTAGGAGTTAAATCACTTTGTTTCTGTTTATGCAGCCCTAGCCACATCTCCCCTGGCTATGATTGACAGTGCCTGCATGAAAAAAAATAAAAACTGGTTTCACTTTCAAACAGATGTAATTTACCTTAAATAATTGTATCTCAATCTCTAAATTGAACTTTAATCACATACACAAGGCTCTTGCAGGGTCTAGCAAGCTATTAACATAGCAGGGGAATAAGAAAATCTTAATTAAACAGAACTTGCAATAAAGAAAGCCTAAATAGGGCTCTCTTTACAGGAAGTGTTTATGGAAGGCTGTGCAAGTCACATGCAGGGAGGTGTGACTAGGGTTCATAAACAAAGGGATTTAACTCCTAAATGGCAGAGGATTGAGCAGTGAGGCTGCAGGGGCATGTTCTATACACCAAAACTGCTTCATTAAGCTAAAGTTGTTCAGGTGACTATAGTGTCCCTTTAAGCAAATCTGCATAAATCTCTCATTATTCATTTTCAGCCAATATATTAATTCTCTACCCTTCTAATTGTATAAGGGCAAGAGTATAATCTAAAGATAAACACAGAAAATAGAAATATTACTTTTACTTGTCTGATAGCTTATATATACTTTCACGATCTCTGCAGCGTTTCTCAAAGGGTTTGTTTATCTTCTAATCAGGGCTGCCAAACTTTTACTGCTCTTACCCAGCTGGTTCATAGCCCATTTCACTTTTGTCTTCTGGTTGAGTTTTTCCCTCAGGGATGCTTCTTTTCACCGACTCTCTCTTCCCTTCTTCCCTTTCAAATTATTCACCAAAGTTTTAGTAGCTACCACGTTACAGTTACTTTGTCCTTAGATTTCCTGCAGTTCAGTATTATAATTCCTGAAGTTTCCTAAATACCATATACTGGAGATTTATTAAGGATTTTGAGACTTAGTTTAGGTGATCTGCCCTTTTTTCTATGTTATAGTACTCTTTAATGTTCTTTTCTTCAATTCACTTCCATTTCTTTGTCCGTATTTATATTTCAAGCTTTTTGTTAATTAATAAGGGTACAGAGCTTTTAAAAGGAAGCGGCCAAAAAGAAAATTATTCAGCATGTATGTCTTAAAAGCAGATTTGCATAACGCTCTTATTAATTTTCAGCCAGTGTATTAGATCTCTTTCCCTCTTATTATATAAGATAAAGAGTATTTTCTGATATTCAAGACAGAAAAGAAAACTATTTGTTTTACTTATCTGGGAACTTGTATAAGGTTTCAGCAATCCCTGCAGCATTTCTCAAGTATTTGTTATCTTCTAGGCAGAGCTGTCAAACTTTTACTGCTCTTTCCCGACTGGTTCTCAACCAATTTCCCTATTTCATCAATTTAAATATTCCCAGAGGGATACCTCTTGCAAAAGCCTCTCTCTTCACTTCATCCCCTTCAAGTTATTCACGAACTTGTACTATTTACAGCATTCCAGCACCTCTCCTGAGATCGTAAAATCCAATTTTCTTTAAGCTCTCCTCAGCGTTCACCATGCAGTCTCAAACGTTATCACCTCAGTCAAACCCATTCCTGCTTCAGCTCTACCTCTCTGTATCACTCCTCCCCCCTCCTACCCGAACATTTTGAATTTTAGAAGGCTACTTGAAATCGAATTTTCGGTGGCTTCTTGGATTGCATTGTCACTTTAATAATATTTATTTTATATTGAGTGGATTAATAATACATAATAAAAGCATGGTCACTTTAATTGTTTAGATACTGTACTTTATAATTGTGCTATAAACTTGCTGCCTGGTACTATGCCACCCAGGGGTAGGGTTTATCCTCTTTCACTAAATGAAAATCTAGTCATGGAAGAACAAATTCAGAAGACCCTTAAAAAGGGATTTATTACGTGTCTTCACCTGCTGGAGCATGATTTTACTTTCTATTCAAAAAGGAAGGTGATCTAAGACCATGCATAGACTACAACGATTTGAATAAAATCACTGTGAAAGATGTATATCCCATTCCACTCATCATTAAACTCTTTGACCGTCTTCAGACGTCCACATGATTTACTAAACTTGATTTAAGAGGTGCCTAATCTGGTTAGGATCAATGAGGGTGATGAGTGGAAAACTGAATTAAATACCTGTAGTGGTCACTTTGACTACCTTGGTCTTGACAAAGACTCCAATGGGTGTCAAAAGGTTGCAGTGTTCCACATGTTCCAATAAGGTGCCTGAAGACATTGGAATGCCTGGACCCTTTTTCTAATACTGGTATTTACTATGAGTACCTGGTCATGCCATTCTGGTTATGTAGTGCACCTGCCGTGTTCCAAGATCTTGTTAATGATGTCTTAAGAGAGTACCTAAACAGTTTTGTTATTGTTTATCTCAATGACATCCTCATACACTGACCTGATCTCACCACAATCACTTACAGACTGTTCTTCGAACAATCCTTGAGAATGGTCTGTATTGCAAACTTGAGAAGTGTTCATTTGACCATACTAGTGCACACTTCTTAGGTTATGTTATTTCTGGTGAAGGGTTTCAAATTGTCCCAAACAAGATGAAAGCAGTGTTAAAATGGTCTCTGCCATTGATAGTCAAGGCTAATCAAAAATTTGTGGATGGGAATGGCAGATGGATTACTGTAGTATCTAGTAGACTTAGAGTTGAGGAAAAAAGGTAACTTGCACACTCTGTTTTTCTACATAATTCATTTTCAGCACTTTCAGCGTGTAGTGGTGTTATGGAGACAGGCTCAGACACAGAATGTAATGGTGTTGTGGAGACAGGTTCAGGCACCGAGTTTGTTGAACCACCATCCTCTATGTCAAAGTTGAGTAAGACTGCAGCCAATGACAAAAATGATAAGGTGAGGCCTGATAGAAAGCAGTTGTTGTTGGGGGATTCTAACATAAGAGGTGTGGAGCTGGATTTAAAACTAATGGTAGGGGGGAGGGACACAGAAATGTACAAAATGGAGATAGCCAATTCATAAGCAAATGGAATGTGGAAAATAAGGAAAATCAATTATTGGTAGGGATATTTTTATAAACCACCTAATGTTAATTTTGATGAGAAAGAACAGCTGTTAGAGCAAATTTTAAAAAAACTGCATAATTTGGGAAACATGTTAATTAGGAACTAGTATTTTAGCAAGGGGAATTAGGTTTTTGAACATGTTAAATTACACTTTTTTTCAAATTTCATTTCAATTTCATTACGCAGAAAATTGAGACAGACAAGTTAGTGAGGGTGACTCTGTGGTCCTACAGTGACAATACCACTAGGTGAATTGGGGACCCTCAGTGACAGGAAGGAGGTCAATAGTCTATTCCTTGGAGAACATGTGAACTATGAGATCCAGCACATGGTTACTGTATCCATATTCATTGTCATACCAGGAGATCAGCTTCACAAAGTAATCATTCAGAGCAATACCAGCACCAGCATCAAAAATGGATGAGCGTGCATCTCAATTGAAGTCAGTGGAGACAACCTGATCTTCAGTGTAGCCAAGGATTCCCTTCATGGGTCCTTCAGCTGCAGCCTTAACGGTATCCTTGATATCATCATATTTAGCTGGCTTTTCCAGGCAGACAGTCAGATCCACTACAGACATGTTTGGTGTGGGAACACGGAATGCCATTCCAGTAAGTTTTCCATTCAGATCTGGGATGACTTTGCCAACACCTTTTGCTGCACCAGTTTATGCGGGAATGATGTTCTGTCCAGGGCCTCTTCAATCACGCCAAAGTTTGCCAGATGGTTTATCCACTGTTTTTTGGGTGGCAGTGAAAGCGTGTACTGTGGTCATCAGTCCTTCAACAATGTGAAAGTTGTCATTGATCACGTTGGCCAGAGGAGCCAGGCAGTTTGTGGTGCAGGAGGCATTGCTGACAAACTTAAGGGAATTGTATTTTTCATGGTTTACACCAATAACAAACATGGGAGCATCAGCAGATGGAGTGTTTTGCACCACCCTTCAATGGTTGTGAAGACACCAGTAGACTCTACTACATAGTCTAAACCGGCAACTCCCCATTCAATGTTGCTTGTGTCCCGTTCTTGGAAGACCGTGATTGCATGACCATTCACAACCAGTTTTCCATACACTGCTTCAATGGTTCCCTTGAAGTTTCCATGGGTAGAGTCATATTTAAACATGTAAACCATGAAGTCTACGTCAATGAATGGGTCATTGATGGCAACAATGTCAACCTTTTTACACTCATTATCACAGGCAGCTCAGGTCACTATACGGCCAATATGACCAAAACCATTAACACCAACCTTCACCATTTTGCCAAGATGTTTTTGTTCCTGTCACTGTCACACGGTGTCCTGCAACAGAGTCATTAAATTACACTTTTATGTCACATCTGGTACAAGCACCAACTAGAAAAGAAGCTTGTCTGAATTTGGTTATAACAAACAATTTTGATCTTTTGACGAATATTCAAGCAGGAAAGCACTTGGGAAATAGTGATCACAATATGGTGTCTTTTAAAATAAAGTCAAAAAAGCAAAAGCAAATAGGGTATACTAAAACATATAATTTTTAAAAGGCCAGTTTCAATATGGAGCTTTGCAGAATCTTGACTGGCATAAACACTAAGGATAAATGGAATATCTTCAAACAAATACTAGAAAGGTGCATTTCTCAGTATGTACCACTGGGCAATAAATATATTTAAAAAAATGAAACCATTGTGTCTTAGTTTGACAATAAACCAAGAGATAAAAAATAAGAAAAGGGCATATGATACAAGGAAGACAATAATGCATGCAAAAAGGAAAATAGAGTGGTTAAACTATAAAATTAGAAACGATTGAGAAGCCCCAGGGGACCACAAGGGAGCTCTTAAAGTGATCTATAGCTAATAGAAATGTAGTTTACCATTTTCCATTAGGTAAGAGGGTGTAGCATGAGTAGACCTTCTAGCTCAGTGAGGATCCCCTTAGTTCCAAAACTCCAGCCCAGATAGGGGTCTGATTATGAGTAATCCCGAACTGAGTTCAGACTATGAGAAAAAATAGGGGACAACTTCAAGGTTATATATATATATGGCAAGTCTCTGATATAGACGTATACAATTCGTAAACATTAGGTGCGCAAACTTCCATTATTAATACTGCCCAGTATGTGGAGTCAGTTCATCAGATAAGGAGCAATTTCTTCAGAGCAAGTTTACCTATTTTTTGGAAGACATAGGCAACACATTATAAATAACAAGGTACAATTATAATCTAAGGGAAGAATAAATCGTCTTGAATTTAATTGTTAACTGATTAAACTTAATTTTTTCCATAATACACATTATAATTGCTGTGATAGGCGGCAGTATGTTTGAAAATAAAATATGTATTAATAGGTAATGAGTCCATTAAGCATGGTCTTTAGGTTGGTTAATGTGCTATGTAAAAATAAAGTGCATTTTCTATTGTAAAAACAGCACGCTATTAGTATTGTTGCTTCTATTAAAACTTAACTATTGTCATGAGAATATGTTAAAAAATGCAAGTAGTGAGCCTGAACCCATTGGTATGACAGAGAAAAATGGAGACACGTAAAGTTAATTAGTAGCAGTAAAAATAATCCTTTTACAGGTAGACAACCAGTATGTATTAATACTGTAAAGGAGTACATTGCAAGTAACAATAATGTCCACTAAGATCACATTATGACCACCTAGAGAACCAATATAAAAAGTAAATGCATAATATGACATTTGGAGCTGAGAATTATGTTGGCTCCTAAAATATTCATATCATAACACAAATCATATAAATTTTCCTGCAATAGTTCAAACTCACACATACATTAAAAGCACACAACAGGTGTAACATAATTAACCCCTTAACGTCATTACGGCGTTCTATGCCGTCCCCATTATAATGGGATTTAAAGCCGTTGGGGCAGCATACAATGCCGTAACGGCTTAAGCCTCCAGAAGCTCTGCGGTACTTACCTCTGCCGCAATCCTCTTCGGGAGGACTGCCTGACAGCCCAGGCAGCCGTCCCCGGCAAATCAGGCCCCTGGGGCCATGTGATTGCTCTCAAAGAGCGATCAGATGGCCCCCAATAGCTGGCTGTGGGTATGTCAGGAGGGGGGCTATCTGGGCTGTCAGACAGTCCTCCTGCTGGTGGGAAGTGTAAAAAAAAATATATTATTAAACATGTAAAATAAATTAAAAGTGTGTTTTTATATATATATATATATATATATATATATATATATATATATATATATATATATATATATATATATATACATATATATTGTTCCAAATAGGTAGCTGCACTCACGGGTTTTTAAAGTCCAAAATTTATTAATAATAGAGGACTTTCATCAGGATCAAATACAAACATATAATGAACATTCATTACTTTTATACATGACAATATTAGCTAAATTGACTTACCCCCAGGTGAAACCACCATCTAACCGGCGTTCTGCCATGCCCTGTGCTCATGTGTGACTAAGCTCCGCCCCCTTAGTGATGTCATAACGTGAAGACGATGCGTTCAAATCTATTCTATTTGTACCGATGGATCATTCCACATCCAGATATTGAACTCTTTCAGAGCTGATGTTTGCAGACATTCTAATAGGTGTTGATAGCTTGTTGAGTTTTTCAACCATGGTATGTGCATCAGTCGCGGTGCCTTTCCATATGATTAAGAGGTCATCTATATATCGATAGTACCCCTGTATTAGATGGCCGTATGGTATCAGAATATTCCTTTGTTCATATACGAACATATATGCTTTCGAAGGTCTGCAAGGACTGGACCATGGTCCTCAATAGAGTATCATTGGATATGATGCTCATTATTATTAAGGACGTCAAAGAAGACTTGGTTGATGTGGATAAGAAGATTCTGGAAATTTAAACTGAACATGCCTTATTACTAGCTTCTACGGAGGAGCAGAAATTACAACAAAAGCTCCAAGAGGACCGGTTAAAATATAAGAACGAACTAATCAGGTTCAAGAAGCAGAAATTTGAGAAAGTCCAACAGGACTACCAGGACCACAGAGTCTACAGGTGGTTATCTGGAAATAGTACACAAAGACCGAAAAGGCAATGTAAAAGAATTGTCAAACCCAGGATAGTCACAATTGACACCATGTCAGGGGAATCTGCCTCCGACAACAACATAAATGAACCTACGCCCCAAACTCCACTTTTTTAGGGGCCGCAGAAATGGGAACCTCTACCAGGAGCCGTGCAAGAAGAAGCGCAGAACCAAAAGAGGTGGGAAAACCAAAAGGGATGGCAAAAGGCAAGCCACCTCACAAGAAATAATCCCCATATTTCATTTGTCCCACAGGCCGTTAATCAAAGAAGAAGTTGATTCATAAAGTCGACGACTATCATTCGTCCCCACGGCCAATGCCAACCAATTTAAGTGGGAGGTTAAATGGTTCAAGTTTGGCAGGAATCTTCGACTGAAGGAATACTTTAATAAAGGCAATGCTACCACAACCACTGCCAATGATGAAATGAAAGAGAAATGTCGGCTCAAATCAACCTTTGATCCATCAACTAACAAACCTTCAATTAAAACTTATCTATTGTTAACTAACAAAGATGCACATGTGGCAATGTCCAAATCCACTAATAGACTTCAGAATGTCTCAAAGTATCAACGCCAACTCATTAAAATCTGGCTGAGGATAAATACATAATTATATGCTCTTCAGACAAAGGAGGGGGCATAGTCTTAATGGACTATATAGACTATGCAAACGAGTTGAAGAGTCAATTACAGGATACAAGTATATATCAACTCCTGGATCATGATCCCACCATGGACTTCCAACGTGTTATATACAACACTCTCTCTATGGACTTAAGAGCGGGTTTTATCGATGTTGACTTGTTTCAGTTTCTTAATTAGAAGCACCCACGTAGTGCCATCATTTACAGCATTCCGAAAATTCATAAGAATGCACAAAGACCTCCAAAACGCCCAATAGTGTCCGCAATCAAAGAAATCCTGGAACCTCTAGCTAAGTGGCTTGATTTCTTATTTAAGGGACCGATAGAACAACTAGAAACTTGTATTAAAGATACACCTACACTCTTGAGCAAAATCAATAACATCAGATTTCTGGATGATAAACCTATTCTAATTACCATGGATGTGAAAAGTTTATACACTGTTATCCCACATGAAGGTGGGATAGAAGCCATGCATCAGGTGCTTACAGCTTCAGCAGTATACAGGGGGCCACCCATTGAATATATCTTGGAAATACTGGCATTAACACTGGAACAGAATTATTTCCGGTTTGTAAATCAATGGTATCTACAAACTTCGGGTACATCGATGGGGGCGGCTATGGCCCCCATATATGCAAACTCATATATGTTCGCATATGAACAAAGGAATATTCTGATACCATACGGCCATCTAATACAGGGGTACTATTAATAGATAGATGACCTCTTAATCATGTGGAAAGGCACCGCGACTGATGCACATACCATGGTTGAAAAACTCAACAAGCTATCAACACCTATTAGAATGTCTGCAAACATCAGTTCAGTGTCTGGATGTAGAATGATCCATCAATACAAATAGAATAGATTACAGCTTGTATACGAAAACAACTGATCGTAATACATTACTACACG